AGACCGCGGGCGGGATACGACGGACCACCAGGGCCGTGCGTCGGGGGCCGGCGCCAACGAGTTCGCGGGGCTGTACCCCGAGGACCTGGCGTCGGTCTTCCCCTGGCACGGCTTCTTCCGGGGGTCCAACCGGGACTTCACGCACACTGTTGAGGCGGCCTGCGGCGCGCACGGTGTGGAGGCGCGCTACCCTTTCCTGGACCGGGCGGTGGTCCAGGAGTGGCTGTGGCTGACACCCGCTGCCAAGAACGCCGCCTACAAGGCGCCCGTCGAGGAGCTGCTCGCAGAGGCCGGGTATCCGTTCACCCGTGGCGTGAAGACGGGCTTCGGGGCGCGGAAGGACCTCGCGGAGGGCAGGTGGCGCGGCCAGGCCTGGGTGCACGGCCGCGCGCTGGGCAGGCACCCTCTGGGAGACGAGTTGCCGCCAGTCTTCGAGACCTTGGACTTCCAGGCGCTGCCCGCCATGAAGGCGGACGCGCGGGCGACCAGCTGCCTGCAGCGGCTGCCCGGCGGGGCCACCGACGTGCTCCGCGTGGCCTGGCTCGGGGCCGCGCAGATCTCGCGCGCCGACGTGCTGCGGGCCCTGGTGCGCGGGTGCTGTGGCCTTGGCGGCCCCGGGCGCCAGAGCGCCGCGGCCGGCGAATGCGCCGGCGCCCTCCTGAACATTCGGAGGGACGACGGCGCCACGGCGCTGCAGCTCGCCGAGGAGGAGGGCCAGGCTGGCATGGCCGCTGAGCTGCGGCAGCTGGCCTGCCGGGCCCTGGACGGGCTGCGGCGCGCGGCCGTGCTGTTCGCCCCGCTGTCCTCCCGGGAGGCTCAGCTGCGCGACGCGCTGGGCGAGGCCTCTGGCGCGAGCGCCGACGGCAGCCTGGAGGCGCTGGCGGCCAGGCTGCGCGCGCGGGGCGCCGCGGAGTGCGGCCCTGGTGCCGCGCAGCTGCCAGGGGCCGCCTGGGGGGAGCAGGACGGCCCAGACGAGGACGTCGGCTTCTTCCTGGAGCACGTGGCGTCCGTGGCGCTGGAGCCGGGGACGCTGCTGTCGGCCGAGTGGCCCGGGGCCAGCCGGCGGGAGCAGGCGCGCACGCTGGCTCGGGCCATCCTGAGCGGCGGCCGGCCGCCTCGCGAGGGCGAACAGAAGCCCTCCGAGTGCGCAGCAGCCGATGTGTGAAATCCCGGGCCTGCCATTTGGGCATCAAGGTCCTCTTTAGGACACCCCAGCTGGCGGGTAGAATGGCACGGGTTCGACGCAGTGGGAGGGGGGCGAGCGGATGTCAGATGCGGCGCGAGCGCACCTGGGTTTCCCCCCCCCCCCCCTCCTGGGTTCCCCCCCCCCCACACACCCCAGTCGCTCTTTGCACCCGCGGCGTCCCGCGCGTCGCGCCAGCCTGTGGGGGAGGCTGTGGGGACGAGGGCTTGCCGCGCTGCCCCCCCGAGGGGCAGCGCGGCAGCTCTCGTTCCCCAGGGCCGGCGGCGGGCGGGCTCCGCCGGCCCGGCGGGGCGGCACACCACCCGCAAGGGTCCCTGCCCCCCAAGGGGCAGGCAGCGCGGCGGTTGGCCCCCCCTGGCCCATTCCCACAGCCACGACCACCACCACCACCCAGGGCCACCACCACGACGTACGCCCGCCACCACGACCATCGCTACCACCACCACCACCACGACCACCGCCACGCCGACCGCGACCACCACGACCACTGCCACTGCGACCACTCCCACAACGATGCCCGCGCATCCCCCGACCGCCCCCGCCCCCCCCCTCTCTCATGCCCCCTCTCTGCCTAGCCGCCCTTGCATGCAGTCCACCCTCCTCTTCTTCCTCCTCCTAAATTCTGGCGCTGCGCTGGGCGTGGTTTTGGAGCTGCTGCTGGCCGCCCTTGCAAGGGTCCGGCTACGCTTAATGACTCTTGAGGCGTACGCCATTCCGCCAGCCTCAGAAGAGGAGACGTCCGACTTCCAATGCTGCATTTTTTGTGAGTCTCTTGGAAGCGTAGGGGGCGGCCTCTGAGATCCTTTGCACAGGTCCTGGGGGCAATTAGGGAGAATCTTGGAGAGTGTTCGTTTGATTCTTTGAACCCAGAACGTCCGTGACGGGGGGTCGCCCCCCCCTTACGGTATCGAACGCGCGCGTGGGTGGTGCTGGCTCCCCCTCAGGTATGGCGCCATGCTTACGGGCGGGCTGTGGTCCTGGCAGTCATGCTGGTCCTCACAAGCATGCTGTGACGCTCGCAAGCGTCCGCTTCGCCGGGAATGCCGGGAACGCCGGGAACGCGGTGTTGCTGCTCCTGCTATTCCTGCTGCTCCTGCTGCTGCTCTGGTGCTCATCCTGCTCCTCCACTGGTATTCCTCCTCCTCCTCCTGTGCTCTTCCCGCTGGTCCTCCTGCTGCTCCTCCCGCTGTTCCTCCTGTTGCTCATGCTGCTGCTGCTGCTGCTGCTCCTCCTGCTGCTCCTCGTGCTGTTCCTCCAGCTCATCCTGCTGCTCCTCCTGCTGCTCCTGCTGCTCTTCCGGCTGCTCCTCCTGCTGTTCCTGCTGCTGTTCCTCTCCCTTCTCTTGCTGCTCCTGTCCGCTCCTGCTGCTCCTCCTGCTGGTCCTCTGGCCGCCACTCCTGCTGCACTTCCTGCTGTTCCTCCTGCTGATCTTACTGCTGCTCCTGTTCCTCCCGCTGCTCCTCGTGATGCCCTTTCCCTGCTCCTTCTGCAGCTGTTCCTGCAGGTCCGCGTGCTCCTGCTGCTCCCCTGCTGCTCCTTTGTGTTCTCGTGCTGCTGCTCCTCTGGCTGCTCCTTCTGCTGCTCTCCTCCCTGCCGCTGCCAATTGTTCCTCTGGTGTTCCTCCTGATCCTGCTCCTGTTCCTCCCCCTGCTCCTCCACACTTTTCTCCTGCTCCCCGTGATGCAGCCGTGCTCTTCCTCCAGTGCTCGTCCCGCTGCTCCTTCTGCTTCTCTTGCCTGCTGCTCAGGTGCTCCTCCTCCCTGCTTATCTTGCTCCTGCTCTTGCTGCGCCTCCTGCTGCTCTGGTTATCCTCCTACTGTTCCTCGCGCTGCGCCTCCCAAAGCTCTTCTTGCTGCTCCTTTTGCTGTTCCTCCTGCTGCTCCTCCACTTGCTCCTGCTGCTCCTCCTGATGCTCCTCCATTTTTCCCCTGCTGCTCCTCCCCCTCCTTCTGCTCATCCTGTTGCTGCTCCGCCTGCTGCTTGTATTATTTTATTTCTACAGCTACAACAACTAACTATTGCTGCTGCCGGTCCTTCTACTGCTGTTGTAATGACAACTATTGCGCGAATTACGACTACTACGAACGCGACTACCACTGCTACTACTACGGCCACTACGCAGTACAGTGCAGTTTTTAATACATGCTCCGCGTGCGGATCATGTATTACACATGCAGGGATTAAGTATTAAAAACAGCGATGAGTTCATGCATACATTCATTCATACATTAACAATGCATTACAATCCAATATCTTTAAGCATCCCATGTACTAAAAACTGCCCTGTAGCAGGAGCAGCAGCAGGAGCAGGAACGAGAGCAGGAGCAGGAGCAGGCAGAGGCAGTAGCAGCAGCAGTAGCAGCAGCAGTAGTAGTAGCAGTAGCAGTAGCAGTAGCAGTAGCATTATTAGTAGCAGGAGCAGGAGCAGGAGCAGGAGCAGGAGCATGAGCAGGAACAAGAGCGGGGGCAGAAGCAGGAGCAGCAGCATGTGAATGCCATCCAGATTTTAATCCCTAGGTTCAGCGTTTGGAGAGTCCGACCGTTTCGCGTTCTGGCTCAAGGGAAAAACATCCCAGGGGCGATCTGCTGCCACAGTTGGTAGCGGAGCGGGGTGACCCCGCTTCGGGCCCATGGGAGCTCCGGCGCGGCGCTGAGGAGGCGCTACCCAGGAAGCTCTCGAGCGCCCGGAGCGAGGACCTCGCTTCCAGGTCCGACTGGCGTGGAGATCCACGGATGACGACGCGAGACGGCAAGGAGAAAGAGTCCCCAGCCGAGGCTCCAGCGAACCCAGCCGCAGGGGACACGCTGGCAGCGGTCACACCGGCGCAGCTGAAAGAGATGATCATGGGGGTAGTCCGCGAGACTATGGGAGCAGCATCATCGTCTCAGACGCCGGTGGCCGCGGCCACGACAGCAGCAGAAGATCCCTGGTTGCACGGCTGGACCGACAGCAGTGCCAAGGGAGATCGCCAGGAGGACCCGTGGAACTGGTCCGACGCCGCCGGCTGGCGCTGGGGAGGCGCTGAACGGCAGCAGGGGGGCGATCAGGGCGACAGCACGAACCAGGCCTGGGAGCACTGGACCGGCAGCAGCAGGGGCCATTTTGGCACCAGTGCCGGCGACTGGTGGGGCTGGGCCGCCGGTGGCGGCAAAGGCGACTACTCTGATCCACCGCCTTGGCCTGGTTTCGGACACTATCGACAGTGGAGCCGTGCTATCCGCAGATGGAATCAGAATACCGACGTAGCGATATGGCGCAGGGCTGAAAAATTGTTCAAGCTCTTCGACTGGAACCTCCAGGCCAAGTTCGAGGATATCCCCGAGTGCACGCTCGACAGCGCCTCGTGGCTGGAGGTCATCCTGCGCCGCATGGACACCATGGCTGGGGAGCGTGAGGGCGACGACCTACGACGTGCCGGGCGCCGAGCTCCTTATATGAAGCAGCACGTGAGCCTCGAGAGACGCTGGTTCAGTATGTGATCCGCCGTGAGGCGCAGCTGACCGAGGCAGAGGGGCACGACATGTGGTTCAGCCCAAAGTTGAAGGGGTTGCTTCTAGAGGAAGGCGCCGGATTGTCTGCTCAGGGTCAGCAAAATCTCAGAACTCTGACTCACGGACGCCTCGACTACGATAGCGTGTCCTGGGCCCTCAGGCAGATGGACGCAACCAGTTCTGAGAGGCTTTTTCCAGGTCGTTCTACAGGCACACTGTTAGCAGGTCCCGCGGCCGAAGAGCCCGGCGACGACGAGCGTGCCACAGCAGCCTCTCAGCCTCCCTCCTCCACTCCCTCGTTCCCCGCTGGTAGGTCCGAAGGTGGTGAGGAGACAGGCGACGGCTCCACGGACCAGGAGGAGATTGACGACGACTTCGAGGACGAAGCTGTCCTTCTCGAGGAGCTCGAGGATCTCGACCTCTACGAGGACCAGCTGGATGCCGCCCTCGAGGCTTTTGCGGCCCGCCCGGCTGGACGCTCCTGGAAGGAGAACAAGGATCTCAAGCGCGCTGCCAAGCGCGACCGAGAGTACTACGGAGGACGACGCCCAGCAGCCGGACCACGAGGAGCTGCTGACAAACCCAAGGCGGAGCGCCCGTCTCCACCGTCCAAGGGTGCAGGTCGAGGCGACGGCCGCCGAGGAGATCGGTTCAAGCGCAGACCCACGCTCACCCTGGAGCAGAAGATGAAGGTGACCCGCTGCAGGACATGCAACCAAAAGGGCCACTGGAGTCGGGAGTGCCCGAAGAACGCCGGAGCAGACCGACGCATGGCTGCATATGCATTCAACGGCATGGCATCGACCGACAAGGTGCTCAGTCCGGAGGCGATGGAGATCTGGAGGACCGTTCATCGGGAGATCAAGGAGGATGACACCTTCCTGGTATCGCTTCCATGCCAAGGGCTGGTAGACCCTGGGGCAGGGAGTGAGGGCTGGTAGACCCTGGGGCAGGGAGTGATCTCGTCGGCATCCAGGCTCTGAGTCGAGAATCACAAGCACTAGCAGAGCACGGTCTCAGATATGTTGAAGTTCCGGCGGAGCATAGACGACATGTCGCCGCCCACGGCGTTGGTGGACCGGCCAAGGTAGTAGCTAGCATTCTCTTTACACTCTGTCTTTTTGGAGTTCTCGGAATAATCGAGACAGCAGTGCTAGCCGATGATGTCCCCTACATCATCAGCGTCAATCTTCTGGACTTCTCGGGCTGCGTTCTGGATCTACCCGAGAATACGCTGGCGCCCAGTAGGCTCGGAGAGACGACAAAGCTCACGAAGCTAGGATCAGGCCACAGAATGGCCGACATCGTGAGGGCCCTTCGGCCAGGAGCCTCTGTGCCAGCCGGAGCGCTCCAGAGGTGGCCGTTCCTCGCAGCCAATTCGTTCGAATATTCTGGCGGCCCAGTGCAGCGCATGTCAGACACGGGTGTCGCGGGGCACTACATCTATCTCATCATCTCGTGTGCCCTTG